CAGGAACAAAGCAAAGTTGAAACAAAATAAATTGCCGTGCTGAAACATTTTTCTTTCTGCGTATTTCTTTTGTTTTCAGTACAGAAAAATACGGTTTTGACCAATATTTTTTTAATTTTATGCATCGCTTTTCTGTTAATTTTTTCACAGTACTTTAGCTGCAGAATTTATGTTTAGAAAATGTCAAACACATGTACACAAAATTGGTTTGACTTCTTAAGAACTTGGCCATCAAAAGCGTAGTTTGTTTGCAGATTGGGCTTTAGAGCAGCTTGGAATTGAGCCAGAATTGGGAGGAAAATGATCTTGTCGGTGTACCATTTTTGGATTAATAGTTTTGTGAATAAACAAAATTGTAGGTTTTGGTGTGAAAATAATCTACAAGACACTCATCCTTAACATCCTGAAAAGTATCTTATTGATGAGGCATTATTGAACCATATTGTTTTTTTAATGAAGCTGTTGTTCCGAGTACTGTGAATGGTAAGCACTATCAACCGATGTTAGTGGACTCTTCATGGCCCCAATTGAGTGAAATTGATTCGGATAAAGTGATTTTCGTACACGTAATTTTCGAACGCTGTAAGTAATAAAAAATTGCGTCCATCAAATCAGCTCCTGTAGTCGAAGCCGAGGTGAACATTTGAATGTTTCATAAACTTCCACGTCAAAGTAAAAAAAAGTTTCGCATTTTTGTTAAATATTTAGTATTTTATTTCGCAGTAAAGGCATATCGCTCTTGTCCGAAACCCACTTGTTTTTACTATACTATTCCTTTGAGCGCCGAAGGAAAAAATAGCCTTAAGAGTCTATAAAATGTACTACAGATATTCATGTTAAATCAAACAAAAATTAATTATTCCTCATCAGCAGGATAAGTTGGGCTTATTTGGGTTTTCTAATTTATTCCGTAGATAAGTTCTATATGGTTGAGGCGGGTTTATCTTTTGAAAACATTTTTCTTGAGACATGAGAAACTGCTGTATTTTTAAGCGACAAACATTTTGAGGTGAAATACCCACCAAAAAGGTTTGTAAAAAAGTATGCTGGTGTAAAAAAGACTGGTTACTCTGATTCCAGACGAGTTGGACCTTTAAAAACTTGTTTAAGCCATTCTTGTATTAAAAAAAAATAATTCTGTGCCTAAAAACTCTCATAAATTGTGTTATATATTATACAATGGTTATTGAGAAATGGAGGTTTAGTTCTAAGTATTACATTTTCAAACTTTATCAATGATCTTTTGCATTAATCACATCGATCCAATTAACCTTTTTTCAGTTCATATTCTACTTTCTTCTTTCTTGACGTTTTAGATAGAAAGTTGGCAAACTTTTTAAATAATAATGCAATCAAACACCAATATATAAGCGATTTGGACGGAGCGGGTAGCATAAAACTGGAAATTTCGAAAGTTCATTTGCATTTTTACACGCCCCGCAAATTAAAAAGTCCGATCTATGATTTAAGACCTGACAGCTCCAAACCGGAAAACTTCTCCATGATTTCTCGTCTGAGTAATAGCGTCGGTACGTTTGAAGATCTATAATCTAAACTTTTCGAAATTTCCAATCTGCATCGCTGAATGCTAATCGGATTTTTACACTATAGGTAATTTATTCTTGGTGCTAGCATGAAGCGGAATGTAGTAGGTAAGTAGATTTCCGGTTGAACCAGACTCGAACCCTCTAATGTGAATTGATAAATTGCGCTTTGCATTTGATAACTAAGCGAGTTGTGGACGTTTCAGCAAGTTTCAATTGTAGCGAAATTAGCTTTATATGCAATAATCTACCTATTTCCCCGATTAACTTTAATGCACCACGACGGCTAATCAGACTTATCAAAATGATCGCAAAATAAATCAGCCCAGTATGTAAATTTCCTTTATACAAGCACACACGAGTAATACTAAATCCGAATAACACAGTATGTGCTTTTGTAGTTAGAAAATTTAATCTGTTTTGAGACGGCGTAATCCGCATAAAACTAATCAGACACAGTTGGTGCAATTCGGAAGTAGGCCAGTTTTTTATATTTTTTTTGTTTGTTTCGACGAAACAAGCAACAAAGTTTCGAAAATTTACGACATGTTACAATAAAACTTTCGGTACGCGTGTTGAGATAACGTTATGTTGGTTGGAGAAAGAGACTGCTGTTATTTATGGCCCCTTTTCATTTTTATAATGTAAGTGCACGGCACGAGGAGCAAAGTTGTAAGAATTTATTGTTCGGTCTTTAAAGTTCTTGCTGCAAACTTGAGTACCTGGTTTCGCGTTAAACCTTTCTAAAGCTCGGATTTCTGCCCGCTATACTTAAACCAATTAGTATTAAAAGCAATGCTGTTTCGTTGCTAGTTTACGGTTTCAGTTCCAAGAATAAGGAACGTTTTATAAAAATAATTTGGTATTTTATATGCTTGATATAGTAACTGAAGAGGGCCGCTTAAAAATTAAAATTACTTCCAAAGAGTTTTATTTTAATTTACAGAAACATTTGGAAACTCAATCTCTCGTTGCTGAGATCAAAACTAGTGCATTTAATAAATAAAATAAATAAATAAAACTCTTAAAGTATACAAGGTGACAACATTAGTGTATTTTCGTTAAAATTACAAGTTACTGTGGCTTTCTTGCAAATAGCAGACAAAATTTAAAAAAAAGAGCACTTGCATCATCGTGATTTCTAACAAACCACCGGACAATTATTGGCACAACCTGTTTTTTAGCTGCTAAATTAGTTCTTCCCTGACGCACAGAATAAGTAAATGTGATAAAGAACTCACGTAGGATATGCATGTTTGAAAATTTGTAAATAATTATTTTTTAAAATGAATTAGTCTTTCCTGATTAGTCCCCACATGGGTGAAAATGTTATCATATCCATGCTTAGTGGTCCAAGTACGAGTGTATTTTTAACATCTGGATTAAGTTACTTAAACCTATCTCAACTTGTTCTCTACATGCTGTGGAAAGGAGTTATGAATTTCCTCTTTTTTTCAAACATTTCTCCCAATTTGTTATATTGAAACAATGATTGTTTGACAATTTCGATAGTTTAATGAAGCTGTATTTTTGATATTGCATTAATTCATTGTCCAATCTAAATTCGAACGTGTTATTCTTTCTGGATTCTTTTGTGTTCTGGGTTTTCTTGGATTCGTTTGTGTTCTAAATTGTTTTTTTATTCTGTCATTTTCTCTCTCGCTCTCTCGCGCATTTCGCTCTTTTCTCTGATTCTTCTTTTCTCTTTTATGTTGTTATTTCACCTTTTCATAAGTCAATATTGCCAGTCATTTCAGGGAAACATCGAAATTTTTGTAATGGGTATATATTTAATCGACCTCAAAGTTTTAAAATAATTTCAACACACAACTACGATTACGAACAACTTAATTTCATAATCAAAATTAGTTTGTTAGTTTGGTATATTTAGTTTTAATTAAATCGTGAAAGTTGAGGTTGTTTTTTAGAATGAAGTTCAAGAAACTAATGTTTAACAATGTTCTTATGGAAAGAAGGAGAAGAAAACCGATAATTCTAATACCAAAGAATTCGTAGAAAATGTAAATTCTGAGCATGATCAACTGATGAATGAGAATGTGAAAATGGTGCTTGAAATAATGAATTGAAACATGATAACTAATGAATTTAGAAAAATGAATTAAGAAAAACAAATTTAGTTGATCAAAATGCAAAACCTGCAAACTAAACTGAAAAATGTTTTCATTTTTCACCAAAAAACTACTTTCAAGCGTCAAGAACGCGATAAATAGGATTGGCATACATTTAATAGTTCTCTTGAGCCATGATTAGATTCTAATCAAAGCGTTCCAATGTTGATGGATTAACATAACATCATTTGAGTTTTACTTCTTAGTCTATGTGTATTTGCGACAAATTTTTCATGGGTGTGTATTTATACTTCTTGTAGTGTAAAAGTATAAATATAATTCTTTGCAATTAAAATTTCATGGCCGTAATGGTTGGCAACATTCATTAACTAACATAAAGATAAGGTAGTTGAAGAAGAAGACAATTTAGTATTTCGTTTTGATGCTCTGTATTTTAGAAAACTCTTTTCAAGTCCAATACCCAATATGTAATTCATTCACATTTTTCAAACTGTGAATATTGTTCCATTCTAGTTCTGTCATTGCTTACAATTTATGTAGCCATCGTGACGTACAGGGGACAATAATTCATAAAATGTTATGAATTTTTATATTCTGTCATTGTTTCTGGATGCTGTCGGCATAGTATGCATTCTGACGTTGGCATTAAGGTAAAACTTATGATCTGCTTGGGACCATTACTTTACCTCTACATGCAAAAGCTCCATCCGATGAAGGATTACAGGTGCGCTTTTAGACAACTGCCCAAGAAATGTTTTTCAACAAAGGGAGGAATAATAGATGTAAATACTATGAAGAAGATGTATGGATCATGGGAGAAAAACCCAGATTAATTTGCATTTGTGGTTCGACTTTTTGGAAGTGGTAATTAAAGCCAAGTGCGGCTGGTAAAAAGAATTAAACCAAAACTTTTCGGTCACTGTGGTTATTTGGTTTGAGGCGGAATTATAAATATGCAAAAAGCGGCTCTTTATGTCTGCATTAGGCGAAATTAAACATTGCGTCCTAATTAAGCCTGCAGTCAGTGTTTTGCTGTCGCCGTAATAAAAATGTCCGGCAACGAAACGCTTAAACCTGGTGCTTAGACAAATGTTGCCTCCTATTTAGTGTCACATTAATAAAAGCTGTCTTGTTACAAGGTAAACAGTTTGCAACGCTTTATGTTAATTACCTACCACTGGAAAAATATAGAAACATGTAGAAACATGCTTCTTGGCAAAATGTCACCAAAAAATTCAGTTTTCTTTGCATTTTTGCTTCAACTTACTCGTAAATGCATTCTTAAAAATTAGACTTATGAGGATTTCTGACAGTATATTGTTGGGTAAAAAGTCGAAAATAACTAATAATTTCTCGTTCTTTCCAGGCAATGATACCGTGACTGCATCTTTTGATTTTTTCGATTCATCCAGTGCCCACGATTTAACGCTATCACCCCAAACACTTTCTAACACTACAGAGGCCTTAATCAATGACAATTCGGACAGTTTAGGACTCCCAGCAGATAACGACACTGGTAAGTAAATGTTATACTAAATTAATAATAATTTACAACAAATTACATACTGTTATTTTAGAACTTTTCTTAAGGCTTTTCAGCTTTTAAATGATGCAAGAATGGTTTGCAAGTGGACATATATCTTGGTAGTGATATGTTTCAATGGGGTCGGGARTACATAAAGACAACTAACTTGTATATTTTTTTTTTTTTTATTATTATAGCAATCTAGTACAGTATACTAAATAAGCCATTTGTCTTTAACTTAATCTACTACTTTAAAAAACACAAAGCACACACATCCTCCGATAGTCACTCTGTCCGTAATATTATAGTACATCGGTTTGACATGTACTCTCTCACAAATTCTTGCTTTCTAAACCAGTTCGAATGGTTTGTATTCTTGTAACTTGTATATGGGTCAATTTTTTTGAAGTACTCTTAATTTATACCGCTCAAACGAATCGTTTTTCGCAAAATAATTTGGTTTAGGGACGATTTGAATAAAACCTGTCCTCGGGTCCCTCTTTAAGGAGGCAAAGCTCCGTTTTTGATTGATGTTTATTTGCAATATTAATATTATTTTCGAAAGCCGCGTTTTATTTTATCCATCTAATTTTGGGACATTCTGGATATCCTTGAGTACCTTGACATTATATTTAATAAGTATTAATTATAAGATATTAAATAAATAACAAATAAATTATAATTTTTATTGCTTTGGTATCTCGTCACTGTAACCAATCACTTAACGTAACAGTTAAATATTTATGTAGCAGATGAAAGCAGTTTTATAAAAAACACATTAAATCGTGATATTTTAAGTGAATTTACACTAACCATGAACATTAAAAGAGTAGTTAATTTGCATATAATTAAAGTGTATATTATCATTCAATTCTTAATTCATTTGATTAACAAACACGCAGCAGTCAAAGGTTTAAAAATTTTTGAAATACCTTGATTCCAAAGCACATTTAAGTATGATTGTTCAAGTTAGCAATAAAAATTTTGATCTTGTGATAAATCAAGACTTCACGCTTAAATTCGAATGAGAGTAAATGTTAGTTAAAACCGTGCAATTGAACAGAATCAATATTTAGAAAATAAAACAGAGATCCATTGAAAAATTGAAAAAAATAATAAAACTTTGGAGATAGTTGAAAAATTAAACCTACCCGGAAGAGTAAAAATAAGTTAAGGTTTCGAATTAAGATAGCAAATAAATAGACCGTCGTTTCCTTTGGAGCGCTGATTTTATAAAGCCAATGCTTAGTGGTCACTATCCACATTAAAATCTTTCGAAAGCAGATTTATCAAAACTTATAGAAATTTCAACATTTACTATTGAGATTTGAATGCATCAAAGTCCTGAGAGTCTGCCGACTAATGATTACAAATTTGCAAATTTATTTACTTCAAAGGGCTCATTATCTTGCGTTTGAGCTGAAAATCATTTATAAACAGTCGTTACTAATTAACTGATTAACTATTCAAACTCATTCAGAGACTGTTCAAAATATGGTACTTTTCGTATGGTTTTGTTTTCTTAATTAAATATCTTGCAACAAACTTAGCTGCGTGATTTATTATTATGTAAATTGGGAAGTCAGTTTTATTTTGGTGCTCACTTCCACTCTTTGGCGTCAATCGTTTGGGACAATTTTGAGAATTGGATGCTACAGTTTATTTCCTCAAATCAGAAAATTAAACAATTTTGCCTCGGTATGAATTATTCAATATGTCTCACTTTAAATAGAGTTATTTTTTATAGTTTATTACCTAGTATATTATCACATAATGTTGAGGAAATTCCGAGCATTATTTTTCTGCTTTTCATATCTCTGCATTTTTTTGTAGATGTGAAAAGCTTGTTACCCATCCTTTTGATGTCCTATGATCCGTTTTTACTGACGGCTGTTAAGTCGCAACAGTTCAATTTTAGTGAAACTTTCGACAAATAAATTGAATTTTTCAAATAAAACATTCGACTGCGTTTCTTTTTCGACGCATTTTCAGTCTATTTCACAAATTATCGAGTTATTATTGGTTACGAACATACGAACGAAACAAAGATGAAGAGTTTATTTTCGCAGGATTTTAATAATAATTTGTTCGTAACCGATATCTCAAATTGGAATAGCAATTATATAACTTTTTAATAGTTTTTCAACAGGCGCTTGAGCCGAGCCAAGCTACTATATGGATCAGGCGCAGTGATATTAACACAAATGTAGATAACGATTTTGGAAGTGCACACAAAAGTTATTACGTTAAACCAAGATTATTATTATAGATTCAAAATTACCAAAAACGAGCAAGCTGGAATCAAGGAACAAAAAATATCGAAAATAAACATTTAATAAAATTAACCATAAATAGATAGAAGATAAAATATTCATCTAAACTGCTGTTCATCGACTGCGGTTTCTTGTAATAAATCGTGGGTACTAAACCAGAAATTAACGATAATTCCAATCAAAATAGTAAACAACAGAAGAAAAAACAAAAGAAAACAAAAGTATCCGATCAGAATATGTGGAAAATCAGAAACAAACAACTCTGGGAAAGAGAACGGCCTGGTTCATCCCTTTGAATATTTATATCGAACGCTATATTGAAATGATTCTAAGGACTTCTCAGCTATTTTATACGAGCGCAAGAAAGAAATGGGAGGCCAAAATCATCAGTACATAAAATGAATATACCATGGGTACTCCAGTCTCTACAGAAATAGTTCCAAAATAATAATAAGAGTTATAAATAATGCATTATTTGCATGTTGTTTTCGTGTTTCAAATTTGTAAATTTTCGAGGAGACTAAATTGATTCTGGAGAACTGCTGAAGCTATAAACATATCAGAATGTAGCCGATAAAGCGATCTCAAAAATCGAGTTATGAGATGAGTGATGAGCCTTCCTTCCATATATCGGCAATTCCCAATAGGGGCAAGTTGTTTGCGTTAACTCCGGTCCTCCATTATGGAGGAGTTGCCATGAGAACGACGTCTGTCAATACCAATGGAGACCGTTAAACGCGCTCTTAATTTTTGATGCATTATGCATTTTCCATGCAGACGTATCGGGATGCCGGCGTTGCAGTATCGAAGTGAACGGGGTTTTGCTGTTTATTTTCTGTCAGTACTAAACACGGCATATTCAATCATTTGTGAAATTGAGAGGATGCCATCCAGTCTATACAAATGGTGGCTAACATTTATCAGTTCGAGAATGTTTTAAGAAACGATACTGACGCTTGGCAAGCCAAACGTTGTAGAAATTTGCCTTGTTAATCATACACATTTGCAAGAATGCTCTAAAGCCGGAAACGAATTATCTTTGGCTACTTGCATCTACATACATGGTGATTTGAAATGGACGTTCCATTCCTCTGGAGGTGTTGTCATATGCCAGACAAGCCAGACTTAATGAGTGAAGAAACAATGATAAATGTAGATAAGTTCTATATTGTTGAGGCGGATTCATTTTTTACAATCTTCTTTTTGGGTATTTCGCCTCAAAAATTTTTGT